TCTGCAGGTGCGCGGATTTCCCTGCGGGCTGTTTTCCAGGTTGAACCGAGCTTAGGGTAGGGAGCTTAGGGTAGGCGGCTGTTTTCTCCTTGTTAGCTGGGAAGTTCACCAGATACGGAGCTCACAGCGATTTTGTGACAATCCTCCCTCTGCCATTCTGCCCTTCCTTCTCCTCCCCTCCTTCCCTTCTCCTTCCCTCCTTCCCTTTTCCTTCCCTCCCTCGCTCCCTCTCCTGTTCCCCTCGCTCGCGAGGTTAGCGTCTGTTCTCACGCGCAGCGCAGGGTTCTGAGGCTCAGCAGTCCCGCGGCAGCTCAGTTCTGGACGACCTGACTGCAGGGCGGCCCCGAGGAAGGAGAAGTCCGCGCCGCGGACCCGCACCCGCACCCGGCGGCGCTGTGGAACTGTCCTAACAAAAGTGCATGTTCCTTCCAACCAAAGAAACGCGTGTGCAATACAAAGCCTTCCTTCGGAACAGGTGGAATAAACCCACTTTCTGTTGTGGCGAACAGGCTGAGGATGGAGGGAAGGGTGTGCTGATTTTCCAGAGGGGCCTTACAGTCAGTCTGTTTTTAGTTTAGATTTGTTTATAAATTCCCAAGGAATTGTTAACGCTTTGGTGACACCTAATGGATTCTTTGTGAAATTCCAAGGTGCTTCGGCTCTTTGCTTAAGTGAACCGTGCCTTTTCCTGCGTTTCTGCTTCCTCCCGTGGCTGTCCCTGACTTTCAGAGAACACCCGCCTTGTTGGAGGCAGAGTTAAGTGTTGGTTGTGCCGTGCCACACAAGCTGCCAAGGCAGTCAGACCTTCCTAGGCTTTTAAGAAGAAAGAATAGAGCTAGCTATAAAATACGTGTGGCACATCGTGTTTAATTTTGCATGTGACTTCTTTCTGGTGCATCAGTGGGGTTTCTGTGACATTGTCATCCAGCACGTTACCGTACTGTTCAGGGAAGACCCTCACGATTTCGATGCTAGTTCTGCTGTCCAGACTGTCGCTCGGGTTTGAGTATACTGTATCAGCCACCTGGTCTTTTAATTACTCATCCCAGGACACTTAGACTTTGTGAAGTATTTGTTTCTCGGATTAAGACACTGTTAGAACCTGAAGTAGCAGCTGATGGGCATCTGTGAATTTTTTTTTTTTTACTTGAAGTAGATCATGTAGAATAGGCGTCCTTTGTATTTATCAGAACCTCGCTCACTGTCATGTGCACTACAAGTTGCAATTTGGAAACCTTACTGTGTTGGAACCCTGTCAGCTCAGTTGTTGAAGACTGATGTTCTCTCCCAGACACTGGCTACAGCAGCAGCATTTTTCACGTGTAAAAGGAGGAAAAAGGCCCTTAAGGCCAAAGGGTTGTTTTTTTTTTTTTTAAACTCATTGTACAAATCCTGGTGTTAAATTAAAACTAAGCTTTGCTGTAATATTGTTTTCTCTTCAGAATGTGATGGTACAGGAAGGGTGTGAAATGAAGGGACGGTGTTACAGGGGAGCATTTTAAATTGCAGAAGTTAAAATGTTATAATATTTATAATTTTGATGTTTTATTTTTATAGGGAGGATTTTTTTCCCCTAAAATTGTTTCTGGAATGGCAAAATGATTTCCATTATTAAAAGTTGAAGTTGTTAGTTGATGTTGATGTGTTTTTATTTATAATAATATACTAGTTTTTTTTTTAAAAGGTCACAGGAGTGGAATGGAACCCACCTACTTTGCAGGTATCCCAGGACACATGCTGGAATGCAGCAATTTTTGTAAGGCTGAAATGGGGCACATTGGTCTCCCAAATGTCCTTTTTCCTTTTGCTTATTTTCTGGGGGGAAATTAAGCCTCAGTGTGTATCTGCCCACACAGCACTGTACATATCCGTGGGGTCCTTGCTGCACTCCAGGAAGGAACGGTGGCAAGAAAGAGGGAAAGATAGACAAGAGACAGAAAGCTAGGCTCAGCTGGAGGCCGCCTCTTGAGCACAGAAGGGGACTGCCCAAGAACAGTAGAGCGTTTCTTTATACCCTCCAGAGGTTGGTTAATTTCAGCCTGTCTGCCCAGCAGTCAGTTAACAAGCTACGGCGACTCGTTCACGCGCTTCGGGGAGCCCCCTTAGGCACACTGTACATCCTCGAGTCACTTTCCTCTGTGGCCCCATGATCTCCTTGATCAGAAAGTCAGGGACCCGGCTGAGTTACGGGATGCCGTGCCAGAGGTTCGCTTCTGTCCTGCGTTTACTCTGACCTCAGAGGGCTAGGGCTAGAATATTGGCTCTCCTCTTAGCCCATTTGTCTTTCTAATTTTTGGTCTCCAAATCACAGTTAAACATCCAGAAGAGAAGCTTAGTAACATTATACTATAATAGAGGTGATAAGCTTAAACTTACTACTGATCTGAAACAATAGAGGCAGTAAGCTGATCATTACTACCTGAATGTCAAACACATTAGAACACAAAATGGAACTGTTATTTTCTTAACCATGGATATCCTATCATTTAAATCCCTATAGAATGTTAACAGATAATAGTTACATATTTGTATATTGAAGTTAGAAACCAAATCCATACATAACATAGCCACATCACATCATGATGACATGTTGTAACATACTTGTTTTCATTTTCACATAACATAAACTTTCTAACCAATCATCTCTATCGGTTACATAAGCCTTTACCTAGTCTGTTATCTTTTAGTGAGACATACCTAAGTTTTTGTTAAAGGCAAAGGTCTGGATCTGAACAAAAGCCTTATAAGCAATCCTTGCTTTACCCTTTGAAGACCTGTACATTTGGAGTCATGAATACATTTTAATACACTATGAGATGAGTAATTTACCATACACATACGGAAAGCTTTGTTTCTTAATTTAGTTTCATACTAAGAGCATCTTTCATAAAAATACTTTTTTTTTTTTTAACACTTTTAACCATGACCAAATTATTGGGGGTGTCTCCCAAGAGACTCTGGAGATCCCTGGGGGCTCCTTATTAATGAATAAAAGTTGGCCACTCCTCTCTTCAACAATTGGACTCCTACCCAGTAATTTCTCCTCACCCTAAGGATTGTGGTTAAATATCTTAATTTTTTTGATGAGCTGCGAGAAAACCAGTTTTGATATTATTTAAACCAGCTGGTAACTCTGGAGAAAGTGTGCTTTTAAGTCTATAGTCCAAATTGTATTGTAGACGGATGATAAAAAGAAAATGACTGAGCTCAAACTAAAGGGGAACAGCTGTTCACAGAATGACAAACACATAACAGTACACAGAACACACAAACATCTTACAAAATCAGCATGCACTCAAATATATTCTAGACCAAATTGAATTATAGTAACTTACAATTTCTAGAAATTTCAGATTGTAAATAGACTAGTCAGATATTGTTCATCAGTTAACAGATGACTCTTTTTTTTTGGTCTTTTTGAGAGAGGGTCTTGCTATGTAGTTCAGGCTGGCTTTGAGCTCACTTTGTAGCCCAGGCTGGTCTTGAACTCACAACGATCCTCCTGCCTCAGCCTCCCAAATTCTGGGATTACAGGTGTGTGCCACCACGCCTGGCAATCAATCAACAGATCTCTCATCAAAAAATCTGGATAGAATATAATCCTTAATCTATAATGAATATATATATATATACACACACATACATATATACACAGTCTTTGTATTTTATTCTATCTTAATACTGGTAACTTTCAGCTCAATTATCTCTGTATACCCTTATTTATTCAAATCTTTAATTCCCATTTTGATTACTATTTCCTGGGCCTTCTGGGTTGATTTCTTTGGTTGGCCCCAGCTCAGGTTTAGCCTCATCCTGTCTATGGGCTGTAGAGCAGTCTCTGAGGTGTCACTGTCACAGGACTACACACCAGCTCCCTGAAAGGTGGAATCAGCTCCTTCTCCACATCTGAGTTCATGATACAGCCTGACAGTGTGCTTTGGTACCCAGATAGGTTGCTCAAAACAGTTTGGGGTAGTTGCCACTTCTGCCCAAAAGCTTTCACAAGTCTATGCTGGTAATTTTTTCAGAGTCTTGAAGTTTCAAGTAACCATTCTCATCATGACCTGTCCTGTAACGAAGAACATTGCTTCTGTCATCAGAAAGATGCTTTTGACCTAGGAGTTCTAGGTAGAATCCTCCAAGTTAAATCCTGTAAAATATTTTTTCATGGTCATCTCATAGCTTCTGTAATCCACTGTTATGTCATCTCTGTATGCATTTAGTTCCATAACACTTGTGACTAAACACATTACCTGGTTTGTGATTTCTAGGGTTACAGGCCATATCGTCAGCAAGCATCAGGACACTGTGGCTGCTTTCTGTGATTTCTGAATATTGTCACAAACTAATAATCTCTGTTGTAATTTCCATTTTCTATACACTTTCAAAGAAATTAATTATCAGTACATTGTTAGGATCCCTCTTAAAAAAATCAGTGTGATGTCTAGGAGTAGACAAAGACTCTTAGGTTGTTCTTGAAGAAATTCATTCAACTTAGTTTGGCTAGCTACATTAATTACCTCTAAAATTCCAAAACAAAAAGTGCATGTAGCCTTAAGATGGACTCTAATTGCAGGGTTAGGTTGAAGCCAGAGGGAATCTTCTCCCACTTAGCACCTGGCTAGAACCATTATGTTAGAATAAAAGCACTCTCACCTGGACTGTCCTTGGCAAGTGTCATAGCTCATTGTAGGTCTTTTTTATCTTTGTTTTTTATCTTGCATCCTTCCAGGTTAGCTACTTAGCACTTGCCAGGGTGAGAACACTGCCCTCTCCCTGTGGGACTGTAGTGGCTACATCCAGAGACTGTGCTTTAAGCCAGTGGTGCTGGGCAATCACGGAGACACCCACACCTGTGTCTAAAAGCCCTTTAAATATTTTTTTCTCCAATAGGTGATTCCATCTCAGAGCGATTTTGTATGATTTGTTGAAACCAACAGGTGTCAGAAAACTCAAAAGCCGTTGGATCCCCTTTTTCTTATTTATAAGGTTTGTTTATTTTTGCCAAGGGAAGTGACTAATTGAGCAATATGAGAGTCTGGGGTGATTAATAAGGTTTTGAGTAATTGAATTTTTTATGTAGCCCAAATCCGTGACAATGGGCAAAACGATCTCAGGGGCTGGGCAAGCTGCTGGCAGGCCTCAACTGGCCTGCTTACTCTCAGGAATGGGCTCCACTGCCTGCTCCACCTCCCCAAGGGCCGTAGCGGTTACCCTCTACCCACAGCTGCCTGCTGGTCAGGCAGGCGGCAGCAGAAGCGTCCAAAAGGCTTTTCTGGGATCCAGCTTGCCAGGTGGAAGGGACGGCAGTACACAGCCATTGTCTCGCTTATAGCTCACCGTAGCTTCCATTCTGGCCGCTGGATATTTTGTTTTTGTCTGGATTTTGAGCCCAAACAGTATTTGCGCCTAATGAATTTCTGGTGCCAGAAGAGCACATGACATGAGTCAGGGTGCAGCATAGTCAGGACCCTGCCATGACCCCCAGGCACACAGGGCTGTAGTTGGTGGCCGGTGTGGACGGCCGCGGCCGGCCTGGGCCTGTGGATGTGGGTGGCTGGGAAATGGCAGCTGAGTCCGCTTGGACCCAAGCGCAGGGCTTCCCTGCACGCAGGCTGTGCCCCTGTTGTTAATGGGGCCGAGGGAGGCCCCGTTGGGTGTTTCCCAGGAAGGGCGGGCGTTTCATACCAGATTTACCCCTACACCCATTTTCCCAGCGATACCCGCCCAGACACTTTGTGCAAGGACTGGAAAGCTCTGTCGGAGAGACATGACGGCTGTGATGCCCCTAGGTGCAACAGAGCAGCCTCGGGCAAAATGTCCCGTATCCTCGTGACAGAAACAAACAGCCCCGGTTTTCCCCTTTTCTCCAGACTGGGTGAACAGCCCAAGTGACAGCTGCAGGGAAGTCAGTCCCTCGCACATGTGAGGACCTAATATCTGCACAAATCCAAAGACGCATGATTTGTCTTGGATCATTGGGAGTTTGAACTTCAGTGACGGGTAGCTATGTGGAAAGATGGAATTTTTGAGGAAACACCTTTGGTGGGGAAAGGGCTCTTTTGTCCCCCACCGCTGCTTTCCTATTAAATCGAGCAAGGCTAGAGGCTCAAGATCGGTCGGCCGTGCTGTTGCTCTGCTCTCCTTGACCCGCTCAAGCTTGGGACTTGATGTTAACATAATGTTCCGAGTCAAATCCTTTATGGTTCTAAAACCCCTTCTAATGAGCATCCAAAAAGGAAAAATAAATACAGGCGTCAAGCATGCAAAAAACACTGTACACATACATACACTCCTGTGATGATTCTTAAAGAGAATTTTTTTAAAAAAGAACAATAGCAAAACGCCAACAACAGAAGCAAAACAAAGCAAAAACAAAGGGTTTGGGAACAAAATGATAGGGATGAACAGTGGTTGTCATATTACATATTTTATCTTCATTGAAGTTGCTCAGATTACCAAGCAAGATTAATCAAACCATTAAAGAGAAAAAAAATACCAACAAAAGCAAAAGAATTATCACCGATAGAGTTTCACCAAACAAGGTAAGAATTCAGCAATGGTTGTTATATTGCGTACTGTTGTCTTCAAATTAGTTGTTCAGATTACCAGAGATAAGCATGCAAAACTGGTCA